TTGTGAGTGCTTTACAAATTCCCCCCGGACGCATTTTTAGCACAAAAAGGAGGACATGTCCGGGTAAATCCGGACGAATGGTAACCCTACTCAGTCCGTCTCGGAGCAAAGGACCCACTGCCGAATTGCCGCCGAAGAATGAAGCAGCGCGGTAGAGCTGCTGCCGAAGTGCCGCCGATCGTGGCTTTATCTTTTTTTTTCTTTTTTCGCTTTGCTGCTTGGGGCGGCAAAAAAGCTGGAGCCAGCCCTGTGCCCATGGGACATGGGGCCCCAGGAGGCAGGAACTCAGGCAGGGGGGCTGTAGTGCAATCCCTTGATCTCTTGGACCCAGGAGCAGCTGGGATGCTGCTCTGGGAGCGATCGCTGGGGTCACTCAGTTAGGCATCGGGAAGTGAATCGCACTCGCTGCAGTGACTGGGGCGCTGTGGTGTCCCCGGAGCCCTGGATGCAGCCGGGAGACTCCAGCAGTAACATTCCCGCTGCTCCCAGGAGCCTCTCCCAGTGCAGAGACTCCAGCCTGGCCAGGACCCCCCTTCCCGGGCCCCAGCCCCTGCTCCCAGGGAGGGCACCGCTTGGAGGGAAGGTAAGAGACCTGCCCGTCCCCCCAGGGAGCGGTGCCGCCTGGGCTGCAGGGGGGAGGGTTTGGCCCAGGCTGCTCCCAGTGGAGCTGGCTGAGATTCCTGCCCCGTGCCCAGGAAAGCTGCCGCCAGCTCCCATTGTTTGCAGGGCGGGTGAAGCCAGCGGGTGCCGTGGGGAGGGCTGGGACAGTGACACCTGGGGGGACAGAGTGGGGTGGGAGCCAGAAGGGGGCTAAAGACGGGCAGGGAGCTCTGAGAGCCAGAGGGGATTGAGAGAGGAACAGGGATGTGAGGGGCAGGAGGGGAAATGGGGATGCAGGGGGCCGGATGGGATTGGGGGCAGGAGGCCGTGTGTGCACAGGAGGGAGGATGAGGCAATTCCTGGGACTCAAGATGCAGGGGTTTACTGGGGCGGGTGGGAAAAGCGCTGGGAGAGAAGGAAAATGTGAGTGTGGGACAGTGAGAAGAAATGAGGGGGAGAAAGTG